ACGGATCGTAGCATTTTATAAAAACCTGTACTAAAGGAGAGGGAAAGTCTAATAACTCAGCGACTTCTTTAATAACTTGAAATTTCACAGGTACTCTAGCGTTATCAGGACTACCTTCGAAGAACGATTTTAACAATTGTGTACCTTTACTTTTACTTTCTTTTATTAAATTTTGATTTTCTTTAATTCTATTAGAAAGTCGATTAATTTCTTGATCACACTCTGTAATCTTCATTTCCTGATCTTTCGCCGCCTTAAGTTTCCCATCTCGTATAGATTTAACACTCTGAATCAAGATTTGGTTCGCTTCTTTAAGCTCATTTAAGCTTGCCCGTAATTCTGTTTCTTGATTCTGCAGAGATTCTATCTCCTTGTTAATCTCTTTAATCCGTAGTTGATTACCTGTATCTTGCTTGGTTTTAATATAAGCATCTACTTTAGCATAAGCTTCAGTGAACCATTGAGAAGCATATATTGTTTTATAATAGCCCTTTTTACGTTGATCGACGGTATCGTACCAATCCCCATTTGCTTGATCTTTTTCAATAACCATTGGAATCGATTCACTATCAGTTTTAGCCTCAAAGTTTAGTTTATTAAACCAACCTCTCCAAAAAGACCAGTCTTTAGATAGCTGCTCTGAACGAAATAGTTTAAGTTCATCCGTGTCGATTTTGGCTAACTCTCTATCTAAGGTAACTATACGTGTCTTAATAGTCCGCTTCTCTTCTGATTGCGAATTAATTGTAGTCCTATTTCGAGCGATGAGTGTCTCTGAGTTTTCTATAGAGCCAGTTGAATCTCCAGAATCATAAAATAAGCGTTGAAGATTTGATTTAAGTTCATTTAGTGTCATAATTCTAGTCTCACTTTCTTGGCAAGTGTTAATAGCACTCTTAAGTTGATTTGATTGTGTCTTGATAGCTTCTATTAGTTCGTTACCATCATGTGCGCGATCATAAATAGCCTTATTAAAAAGTATTCTTTGCTCACTGTATGTTTGAAAGTTAAAATCCTTCACAGTAAGACGTTTAACTTTCTCTTGCTTATCTTTATCATGATCAGAGCTCAAGGGTCCGAAAGACGAGGGAAAAGAACGCACAGCAGAGACTATTTGATTATACAATTTTTTCGATTTATGTGGCCTAATTCCTTTAATCAGTTCGATAACTCTTTCTCTGGACTGGCCTTCATCTAAGGGTTTAACAAATACTATATCATCTTGCTTTTGAAGTATAGCAGCAACAAAAGCCTTAATAAATGCAAAATCTTCCGGTGTCGGGGCAGATGCTGAATGTAAATCATCAGCTAAAGGAGATTTACTTCTTTCATACCTATTTTTAAGTATTTCTAGATTTCCATCACAATTCTTTTCGATTTTTTTAAAGCTTGCAAAATTCTTTGCTTTGTAGTCTCTTCTGTCAGTCCTAGAGAATCTACTTTTGTTATAGCCACGATGGAATAATTCGCCATATCCATTGGGCTCTTAAAGAGCGAAATTAGTGTCTTCACTAATTGACTTAACTCATTTAGTCTTGCAGAGAGTAAAGTATGGACTTCTATTAAAATCACAACAGCCTTAACCTGACGAGCATTTCGAACCGCCAATTCAGTACTAATAGAACTTACGACAGCATCACTTGATATTCTATTATCTTGAAATCCGGGACAATCTGTATAAACCCAAGGATAGATCTCGCTGACAAATGGCGTAGCGTATAAAGTTTCTGACTCCATTTCATGGCCGATCTTAAAGGTGGCAGGCTGCACCGTATCTATATTTCCAGTATTTTGGTCCTGACACATTTTATGCTCTAGCATGTAGTTCAGAAAAGTACTTTTGCCAACGCCAGTATTACCAATAGCTAACACTAAATCTTTACCTTCGCCCTTCCGAGTATGTTCAAAACCATTTTCTAACTTCTTTAGAATCTCGTTGATGCTCGTCATCTTTTATGCGAAACCTTTTACAGTTTACTTCACTTTCTACTGACATTTATTTCTTGCTAGCAATTTTTTAAAAGAAAAAGAAAAATTGCTACCGAGATTATTTTCTTTAAATCTACCAAGTTTATTTTTCTTTAATTTAATCTAGTACTGTGTAGATAAGGTGTAGATAAGCCGTAAATATTATTGTACGATGTCTAGGATTGCCCACGTTCTATGGCGCGTACACTACAAAGTAACAAGCAGTACTGTACACTGTACTGTACTGTATATCAATATACTGTACAGTACAGACAGTGTACAGTACTGTATATTTGTAGCCTAACAACTCAGGAATGCCAATTTGGTTTTTATTTCTCTAGATATTCTATACTTTTCCCGTACATTCACATGATGAACTTTTTTTTTACGGATAGAGACTCGAGACAAGACAAATGATTACGTCATCTGTATTCCTGTACCTGGTTAATAGATAATCCATAATAGGCATACGGGATATCGCTTTAATTAGGTCGTTTGTCTCACTGGATTATAAAAGTAGGGTGTTTATTACAGTATAACAGTGTAACTGATAAGTATACTCGTAATTATTTTCAATTAAAACAAATTACCTCTTACTGAGAACGCATTAATTTCTATTGAAAATTAGAGCTTCTTGTTGAATGAAAAATACATTCAAAGTCTTTTATTACCTAAAGTCGATCTTGTTTTGATCGAAACAATGTTTGTAGTTATACTCTGTGAAGTGTTCTAAAAAGCGTTATTGTTAATAAGGATTACTTAAGGAAGTGCCGTAAAAATAAACAATTGCGATATAAATGCAAAAATAAATTTAGCCTTTATCTTGTCTATTAAGAGTGTCAAAAGTTAATTATCGATATTTTCATGAATTTGATTAGAGATATCACATTAGATATTTTATAACCGATTACTTATACGAAAATAGGTAGACCAGTTACACGACACGGTACCTTAATACAGTATTACGTTGTACATACCTATTAGATTACAATTCATGTTATTTTAGCTATTGCATAGCAAATAATAACAACCATTGATCGCTATCCCTCCCTAAAATAGTTATTGTCCTTCTGATGGTAATGCATAATGGCTAAGATAACTCGTGCCGTTGCTGCAGTAAATTTGATATTAGCGATAGCCTACGTCGTCATAGCAATAGCATGGGGCCAATTATTATCCGATAAATCCTTCTTCTCAATCAGCGGAACTATTGGCTGAAATCCCCATCTTAATACGCTTACGATTACCTGTATCATGCTTAGAAGCAATGTAAACCGTCATAATTAGCATAGTAGCGTAATACTATCCTAGTCACTATTCTTCGTGGCATTCGCCAACAATTTCTTTTGCAGTCTATTCATAATGCACCATAAGATAATATGCTACATATGCAACTGTATTATACAATACTATTAGTATAGATAGTATTGCGCTACATCAGGTAACGTCAGAACATAGCGGTACGATTAGAAGTACGTATCATGTATTATCAATAGAATCTTAGGTGAGACTTAGTGAAAGGAATATTTCACCAAACGAAAGGAAAGATCGCAATGATCCAGATTAGTATCAGTGAAATTCAAGCTAAATTAATAGAAGGCTATGGACTAATAAAAGATGCAAAGGGTAAAGATTTAGTACTGGTGATCGGTAATACCGGTGTGGGTAAAAGCACCTTTCTGAATTATATGCTAGGGTACAAAATGTACCAAAATGAAGAATCTGATACGGTGGAGACGGTAGAGAGAGAGTGTCCCGCACATATTGGGCATAATATGCATTCACAAACTTTGTATACACATCCGATTGCGGATAAAAATTATCCTTGGGTTTTTACCGACTGTCCGGGATTTCTGGATAATAGAATGACCAATGATACGATTGTGACTTCCATTAGCATGGAATTAACTATTCGCATTGCAAAACAAGTCAAGGGGATTGTTATACTGATGGATGCGACTGAGTTTTTAAGCAGTAGATTGACTGCTTTGGGTCCGTTGATGAAGATATTGATTAAATTATTTCGAGATCCAATTAAAATGTTAAAGTATTCTGTAATTGGTGTGACAAAACTAGATCAAATAAAGGGAGGAAAAACGAGGGCTAAGAAAATAACGTTACAAGGTTTGAATAAAATTAAAGAAGAATGTCGTAGAAGAATAAAAACTCTTGAGACAGAGAAGAGAGAAAGAGATGGAACAGATTTGATTATCAGTGAATATAAAGTGATGGAAGAGTTTACTAGTGCAGTACTTGGTCGTAAAGATGATATCATGTTTATTGATATTCTTGATGATGGTGATTCAAAACAGCTCGTAACCGATCGTATTTGTGCCATTAGATCGAGAACTGAAGCTCAAACTGATCAGTTACCATATGATACTTCTCCACCTCCAATATCAACATCTACTAGTAATGCTCAACAAGATGCACTGCCGTTACCGCTAATTACGATCGCAGACTTCAATTTTGAAGATTATGATATCAATAGAACAAGCTTTAATAAGGCAATTTACGATTTGGCTGGTGAAGGTAATCAGCTAATCGGTGCAATTACAGGAGCTGTAGATCAGCTTAAACGTGCGATTGATTTGTGGAATGATAACAAAAAGAGAATGACGTCGATGAAAAGATTGAGATCGGAGTTGGACAGTTATATTTCTGCTTCTGAAGTCCCAACAAAATTAATAAACACTTGGTCAGAAATGCTTGAAGAAAATGAACAATCTATCCAGTCTGAAAAAAGAAAGATGCAGTCTGTTAATGATCATTTAAAAAAATTTAAACAAGAATTGAATGAAATTAATACTGATAAGCCCGTGATATTTGCTGAAAAGAAGTATATCAAAAAGGAGCAATATTGGACCTATCATGAAGTCCTTTTTGATTTTGATACTGAAGATGAACGGACACCAATTGTTGATATCGATCAACGAATAGGTAATGGTTGCTGGTGCAATACAACAGATGAAAGGCGGAGAGGCCGATATAAAACGTGGTATCAATCTGACTGGTGGAAAAGGGGATGCTACTATGACGGTTTACATTGCTTCTAAGCATGATACAGGTAATCGTAGGCGTATTCAAGATCTTCGAGAAGAAATTAGTCGATGCAAAGAGTCTTTCGACGAGTTAAATGATAACGTGCTTGAGCTTAAGAAATCTAAGGAACGCATTTCATCCAATATAACATCCGTGAAAAATGTAGTCCAGGAAGAAGTAGAGAAAGATCGCACAAATAAACTACGGCAGTGTGATGGAGATATTGACCAATTGTCTGCGCGGATGGCA